ATATATATATACAGAAAAAAAAAGATGGATGGCAGGATTAAGAGAATGGTGTAAAGGACATCAGGAAAATGAGTCAAATGTGTTAGGGCCATGACAGCAAAGGTATGAAGATCTGAAACACAGGAAAACTACAGGAATTAACTGATGGTGTATAAGGCGTGGGGGGAAGGACTCTACATACATAGAGGTTTTGAGCGAGGATGACATAATAATAATTGATTATAAAATTAGGGTAGTGAAACTTCAGCTTGCAGACAGTTCCCAGCCAGAGGGGATCTGGGTTGGAATCCCAGCCTACCCACTAAAAAATGTTCTGTGGCAAACTACTTTTCTCAGTCTAATTTCTTACTAGTAAAATGGAGGTAATGTCAGTCTTGCTGGGTTGTGAGAGAACTGTATGTAGCACCTAACCCAGTACCTTGCAAGGATACGCAAATCCTGATAGTGATTATTATTCAAGTTCAAAATTTATCTTGGCAAACGATTCCCCTCATAGTCTTGCCCTGAGGTCCCTCTACAGTGCTCACATTATTTTCTGTCCCTTGTCTCTGTCTGTCTCCTTAGTGCCCTGTTTTTCCCATGCCTTCCTCAGCTTCAGACAGTCAACTTTCCAACTCAACCTTGACTCTCAGGCTCAAATTACAACCATCTTAAGAAACAAACCATCCACTCTCCTCCCTTCCAAATGTCCCCTATCCTCTATCCAGTCAGATTTCTCTGGTGTTTTCCCTACTGTTCTCTTCCCCTTCCAATCTGACTTATAAACAAAAACAATTCCATGAAGTACCTAGAGTAGACAAATTCACAGAGACAAAAGCACAGCAAAAGTTACCAGAGGTGAAAGGAGAAGCAAAGGAAGAGTTAATGTTTAACACAGAATTTCTGTTTGGCATGATGAAAGAAATAGTGGTGATTATTGCACAACAGTGTGAATGTGCTTCATGCCACTGAATTGTATGCTTAAATGTGGTTAAAAGGGCAAATTTTGTTACGTATATTCTACAATTTGTAGAATAAAATGCACTGAGGTTTAACAAAGTACTCATCTTAAGTCTACAGGTCAGTAAATTACTGCCTCTCTCCAGAGATAAGCAATATTCTGATAGAAAATCACCATCTGAGTATTATCTTTTCTTGAACTTCACCTAAGTGGATTTTTCCATTTTATCACTGCCAAATGTACTGGCGTGAATTGCTCAAAATATCCTTTTTTTCATATCTAGAATCTAAAGGCTGGCCTCTTCTTCATTTCTGACGTCAGTAATTTGCAGTTTATTTTTTTTCATGATCAGCCTTGTTAGTGCTTTATTGATTTTATGTTGATTTTCTCTGTTGTACATGTACTCTCTATTTCATAATTTCTACTCTTATACTCGTTCATTTTGTTAACGAACCCCCAAATCCTGATTTACATACCTGTGCACGGGAAGCCAATCTATTGAGTCACCAGGTTTGAAGTGCTAAACCACCCGAGATGAATTGTTAAGGCCATTGGCCCACCGTAGAGGAGGAAGATAGCCCGGAACCGCTCGTCCTTTCCTGTATTTCCACCCCCCAAATCCCCCTACCTCGTTTTTTTTTTAATCCTGTTTTTATTGTGCCCTAAGTAATTTGCAAGACAGCAACTGTCACTGAGTTCAAGCTCGTGCCACTCGCACAACATGCCAGTAAGTAGAGAGATAAGGTGTTGGGGCAAGGAAAGTGACCCCGTTTGGTCCAAAGGCTAAAGCAGCAAAGGAGGCAGAGAGGCCCCTTTGTACTCCTTACACAACCTCTTAACAACTCCTTTCTCATCAAATGCTAATCAAAATCAACGAACTCTGTTACATAATAAAGGAAGTTTTATTAAGTTATAGTCAGTATGCACACTAGAGCAAGAGCTACTTTCCCAGTTTTAGCAATCCCGGCTTTTAACAATTCATCCTCAAACACTGGACAGTTGGGGAGTTTTTTTCCGTTTGCTGTTTTAACACTTGCTATCTCAGAGAGAGATTTCTCTACATTTAGGAACGGCCATTGCAAAGCAGGGTGGTACCGTATCTTCCACTCAAAAAAGAACTTTCTTTTCTCTTCTAAACCTAGGGACGCCGCCAGGAGGTCCAGCGCCACGAGCATCACCCACGCCCCGGGGGAGTCTCCTGACGGCCACCACTGATTGGCTCGTGTCGCGGCCAAGAGCAGCGGGGCCTTCCGCGGGCAGTGGAAGGCGATTGGCTGCTGGAGACCCACCCCTCGCAGACAGGGTGGGAACCTCGAGGCTGGGATTGGTGGCCCTGGGAGGGCGGGCTCTTTACCGCTGCCGCTCCGCTCCCCGATCCTCAGCAGAGCAGAGATGGCGGCCGCTGCGCAAGTACTGGGTCGGCGTGTGGCCAGCTGGAGACTGCGGACGCCGCTCGCCGGCCTCGTATCCCAGCGGGCCCACTCAATGTTGCCCGTGGACGATGCGATCAACGGACTGAGTGAGGAACAGCAGCAGGTAGGGAGCCTGACCGCCTTCCCGGCCCCAAGGCCTCCTGGCCGGGCCCCCTCGCCCTGCGCCGTGATCGCCCCCACGCTGTGCTGCCCAGAGCCACCCAGCCGCGGCATGTGCGCGTGGGGCTGTGGGGGCGCCGAGACGGAAAGGCCCGGCTGCCGAGGCTAGATGAGGAGTGAGACGCGAAAGCTCCTGGGGACTGGTGGTGTTTCGGTGAAGGACTGGCAGGGGCCACCCGCTCGTGGCAAAAGGGCCCTCCGGCTGTCAGAAGTGCGCTCACACCTGAACACTGCCTAAGGCTGTGGTTCTCAAACCTGGCTAATCATTACCAGGGCCTCTTTTTCCGCATACACATGGACGAGGGGGAGGTTGAAGTGAACAGTAATCTCCTATACTTTTTCGACCCATTGAATGGTTAAAGCATCAAGTTGAACAACTTGAAAAATGTCATTACCAATAGAACTGAAGCAGAGCCTTCCTGGAGGATGGAGGCTGTGTTCACTGGGCTTGTGGCAGAGTTCTCTGGGAACGTGAATCCCCTGCTGCTCTAAGCGAGTGCCTGAGCCTACAAAAACTCCGAAGAACGTCTGGGTTTAGTCAGCAGGCAGAGCTTTGAATCACTTGAAAGAGAAAGGGCTCAATCCCAGTTCTCAACCTTTTGCAGAATCCCAGTTCTGCAAAGAGGAGATTTTAATTTCTTTGAGTAATCCCTTTTAGCCAAAGGCCCTGGGGCAAAAAAAAGTGCCTGTCTGGAGCCAAGAATTGGTGGGGGCCTGGCTGGAGCAGAATGACGGGTATGGGTGAGAAGGGTGCTGGGAAAGCCTGGCAGGGTCAGCAGGGGTCAACTCATGCTGGGCCTTATAGGCCTGGGTAGGAATCTTGTCTTCTAAGTACAGTGGAAAGCCATGGAATGATTTTATGTTGGAGAATGACATTTAAAAAGTAATCTTCAAGCTGTCTAGACTGAGGATCTTGAGAAGTGAAGACCATCTCTGAGGCAGCATAAACTAGTGGGGTCTCTAAGTTTCAGTCTGATGCTGGTTGGTTAGTGTACGTTTGGCCTATTTCTCTGAAATAGGAGTTGAGTCAGTAGTGGAGTTGCTGTCCTTTGGCGGTAATGTACGATTTCAGTGGCATCTGTCCACCTCTTTCCCTCTAGCTTCGTCAGACCATGTCTAGGTTCCTTCAGGAGCACCTAGTCCCCCAGGCCCAGGAGATTGACCGCAGCAACGAGTTTAAGAACTTTCGAGTGAGTCACGAGGCCAGCAGTGGGGGCAGCCCAGGAGCTGGGCAGGGCTGGGCTGGGCTGGGCATTGAGCTGCTGCCTGGAAGGGTTCACACAGCCTCCTGGCAAGTGAAACCTCCCTAAGAATGCAGCCCCTTCCGTGAAGCGCTGGGTGTCATTGTTCCAGGTGTGCCGGGCACCTGTGATGGGCTCCCTTCCTACAACTCACTGTACTCACTCCATTCTGCTGGCAGGAGTTTTGGAAGCAGCTGGGGAACCTGGGGGTCTTGGGCATCACAGCCCCTGGTGAGTACAGTTTCTTTCCCTAAAGAGAACTTTCCCTGCATGCCTTTAACACCATTCCCAGAGGAAGCAGGAAGGAGGAGGGGGAAGATCATGCTCAAAGAAACCCAGGACTTCCTCCCTCTTGGATCTGAGAAAGTACCCATTGACTGTCAGCCCAGAGATGAGTACACTCTTCTGTTTCTCTAGGCAGTGGTGTCAAGAAGGCAAAGGGATTAGGTCAGTGTGGTTCACTTGGAGGGGGATCAGCCAAACTCTTGAACTCTGCATGCTTAATAAATTCCCCCAAGTGATTCTGGGAGTTTAGAAAACTCCCATATCACACAGCTCCTCTCAGTATCTCAGTCTTAATATCTCTGTTAATCCCTAAACTCTACCCTACAAGGGGTGTCTAGGTGAGACCAATCAGGACATGTCTGTCGCTGTGGGACTGCCTGGGTCCTCTGCCCACAGCCTGGCCCTGGAGCAGATGATGGTGTAGGGGAGAGAGATGCCTGTCTGACGTTCCACGTGAGGTAGCCAATGATGTGTTCAGTAGGCTGTCCCTGAGCCTGCCCAGTGTCCCCTGTGGGTCTGTCTGCTTGTTTCCGGGGGGAGAGGGTAGGGAGCTAGTGGGCTTTGGTTTGGATGTTGGCCTCTGCAAGAGAGGCCCAGCCTGGCTTGTAGTGCCCAGTAAGGAGGTGAGCCTGTGACCTCACCAGCCAAAGCCTGGACAGCCCACCTGCTTCAGCTTATGTCCGTTTGGCATTGGAACAGAGGTGGAATACAGTATACTTCTGCTTACGTCTTCCCCTCACCATTTGGAGACAGTTCCTGAGATTCAAGCTAATCACAGAAACTTTCATCATGTGTAATGATAAAATGAAACCACTTAAATTAATTTAAACCATCTTAGTGTAAAATGGTAGGCAGGCCACTGGGAATTCCCAAATAAGACTCTTTCTCCCACTGTATCTTGGGGGTTTATGAGCCCCCATGGAGAATATGCTACTGAATCAGATAGTATTTCACGGAAGAAAGAGGCAGTTAGAAATCAGATGCAGACCCTTTCATTGGGGAACCTTGAAAAAAAAAAAAGCCAGATATGAGTCTTGTTTCCATATGGCTGCCCTGGTGGTTGTTTGCCAGTGTCACCCACCTGTGGGCTTTCCTTCCCAGAGCTGCAGGGGTTCAGCCAACCTTTCCCTAGAGCAGAGGATAAGCCTGACTTCTTGGTCAGAGTGAATGTGTGCAGAGGGCCTGTCCAGGGTTTACCCAAACAGCGGGATGACGTGGTACCAGATGACCCAGCTACTTTGATTTCAGATCTACTTGCCCAGGAAAAGCCACATTTACTTATGAGGAGTTTTGAAATTCCATACCAGCATCTCTTCTGCCCTCTGTTAGTTGCCCATGAGTTTGTCTTCCAGGTGTCTCTTCATTTATTTGTCTGCCTCTGGACTTCTGTAGCTTTCTAAATAACAGATGTTCAGATTCTCTTGTCTTTATTAAGAGGTCTGTTTGGGATAAAGCAGGATTTGCAGTAATTCGTTTCTGAATCACACCTCAATTGATCAGAAGCAACAGACAAAACCAGTTCTGCACTCATAAGCAGAGTTATGATATCAGCTTGGTAACCTTGCCAGAACATTAGGGTAACTGGAATAGGTGCCATGAGGGCGTTTCTTGCTACCAACTGCTAAGATTCCCATTAGTGTCCCAGTTTAACCTGGGCTGCTGTGTCCCTTCCCAGTTCAATATGGTGGCTCTGGCCTGGGCTACCTGGAGCAAGTGCTGGTGATAGAAGAGATATCCCGAGCTTCAGGAGCAGTGGGACTCAGTTACGGTGCCCACTCCAACCTCTGTGTCAACCAAATTGTGCGGAATGGAAACGAGGCCCAGAAGGAGAAGTACCTCCCCAAGGTGAGGAAATGGAAATGGAGCAACACATGCTAACCTCATGGTCAGCCACCAACCATGAGCCCTCCACCACCAGCCCATTGGTGGAGACCGTTCATACTTGCTTTCTACTGCGTGCTGCCTTCAACCAGATATGGCCAGGAAAGGGTTAGGGATTTACTATCAGATACTTCAGCCCAAAAATCTGAAAATGGGACCAGGCCTTCAGGCTTGGTCACTGGACAGCATTTGCAGAGCATTTTAAGAAACAGAAGACTAGGACTTGTTTCCCTAGCAAAGGGAATGAGATAAGGAGAGAGACTTTTAGCCCTGCAGGTATTGGGCTTTTCTTCTAGGACTTTACACATATCCTGGTCTGAGAAAGAAGTTTGAAGGGGTGTCAGGTGAACAGGCAAGAAGCAGTTATCAGTGAGCTCATGTAGGAGACTTCTGTAGTCATAACCAGGCCCTGTGGGGTTTGCCTTGCAGCTGATCAGTGGGGAGTATGTCGGAGCTCTGGCCATGAGTGAACCCAATGCTGGCTCTGATGTCGTCTCCATGAAGCTAAAAGCAGAAAAGAAAGGTGAGGATCTCTTGACTTGGGAGCTGAAATGGATGGAAAGACAGACCTTCTCAAGTTGAGGAAGCAATTAGTGGGGGTAGCCTCTGCTGCATTGGCAGAACTGTTTCCAAGCTGGGCAACTGTTTCCCAGTCCTCAGCAGCAGGTCTGTGGACTGACTGGCTGAGACAGGCCAACACAGCTTGAGCAAATAGCCAACTTAACTATTCTTAGGTGATCACTACATCCTGAACGGCAGCAAGTTCTGGATCACCAATGGCCCCGATGCCGACATCCTTGTTGTCTATGCCAAGACAGATGTGGCTGCGGTGCCAGCCTCTCGGGGCATCACAGCCTTCATTGTGGAGAAGGTGAGTGGAGGGGAGTGCACAGCAAGAGGCTTTTGTCTCCTGACAGCGGACAGAGATGGCTCCCTTCAACTGATTGCAAACAGTCAATGTTGTGTGCTCTGCCAAGATGCCCTGCGGTAGGGTGCTGGGTGGTGAGGCAGAAGAACAGACTGAAAGGAAGGTGTCCTAAAAATGAATCAAGTCTGAGGAATGTGGAGCTCTCCACAGAACCAGGGTACACAGAGGTCCAGGAAGATTAGGGCTGGAAGGAGGCAACTGGCTTTGACAATCAGGATGTCATTGGTAGGCCTGGTGAGAGCAGCTCTGGGAGAGTGGGGTGTGAGTTGGGAGTGCATGTGGAGAGAGAACGAAGACTGCACCTTCCAAATCTTGCCAATAAAAAGAGGGAGATGGAGCAGGAATTAAAATGTAAAGTTGGGAGTTTGAATTTGTTTTTAAGAATGGGAGAGAACTGAGCAAATTTTTTGGTAAAGAGAAAGGAAAATACAAGAAAAATTGAGATGTGTAGAAGCAAGTGAGAAAAACACAATGGGGAGATGAGGGAGAAGAGGTAAGGTTGGGTTTCAGGTACTGACAGAGGAACCATCTGCCTGATGACCTCCAGGTATGAGGGCTGGAGACCACAGGGCTGGAGCAGAGAGCTTTGTGAATTAGTGTAGTAAAAAGGTTTGCAATACCCTCCACAGCTAGAAGGGGAGAGTAGCTGAACAGGATTGGAGGACAAGAAAAATGAGCAACCCTAAGGGCCTGGCTGCAATTGGAAATCTCAAGGTCGTGGGGTGCCACCCTCACCAGCCAGGAGGAAAAGGGGGCAGCGCCTGCCAGGGCATACTGCATCTGACTGGTTCAAGTTAAGAGTGCAGGTGGTTGGACTGATCCTGGGCAGGACTCAGTCACAGATGGCAGAGGGACAAGGGGCAACGGAACTAAGTGGGTGTGAGTATCTTGGAGATGAATTCCTATGAGGAAAGTAAACAAAACCAGGAAGGGTCAGGAGAGCCCCAGGGGTCAGAGTTTCATTGAGAAAGAACTGCTCCCATGAGAAATGGGGAGAACGCAAGCCAGCAGCAGAGGAGGCTGGGGTCAGGGTTGGATGAAAGGGCTGGAGCATCCAGGAGTGGGGCAGAGAGAGGCCCTGGGAGTACGATGCTGGTGTGCCATGCGAGTACAGGGACTGGATGGAAAGGTGGGCATTTCCCAGCATCTTCCCTTTACTAGACCCTCTTGGGACTGGTCTGTAATCAGGGCCACCTTTTGTTCCTGTCAAGAATATGCCTGGCTTCAGCACCTCCAAGAAGCTGGACAAGCTGGGGATGAGGGGCTCTAACACCTGTGAGCTGATCTTTGAAGACTGCGAGGTTCCTGGTGAGTTTCTGAGACTGGGATTGCCCCTGTCCTGACCCCTTCACAAGCTGAGAAGTCCATTTCTGGTTAGAACAGCTCACCACTGTCAGCTTACCAATGCCACGTGGCTAGGCAGTGGGCCTGCCACTGCTGTACTTGGCCACTGGCCTGCTCACATGGGACTCAGGCTGCTGGGCAGCTGTGTGCCTGACTGTCTGCCATGAAGGGCAGTGTTTCCCCTGTGGATAACACGCGGGGCCTGGGTTGGCATGCCAGTGTCTGGAGTACATAGGTAAGATTTGCCCTTCAGACTTCCTCCTTTGTACATTTCCCTCTGTAGCGTGTGTGAGGTATTTATTGATGCTAACAAACCATCTGAACAAACTGATGAGAGCTGGGCTCAGCAAGGGGAATTCTGTTTGAGAATTTTCTTCCCTGAAGTGTAACTGAAAATGTGACACATCGTGGGAAAGTCAGCGCATCCATCATGTGCTAATGAAACCAGGGCATAGATTTGACCACCAGCTAGGTTTGCTCTGCACCTCAGCTATAGAGCATCCCTCTCCTCCACGATCTGCCACGTGAGAAAAGTACACTTTGGGTACAAGGAGCATTAGGGAGGGGGGATCAGTGCAGATCCTTTGTCAGCAGGAAAAAACTCCACCATCATTAAAGGCAGGTCAGTGGTGTCAACTCTGTGTACTCAGTTTCCTGCTTACACCTCCCAAGGCCATCCAGTGCCCTGGCTTCAGTTTTTGTCCCTAGTGCTGAATGGCTCCTCTCTTGACAAAGACTCTTCCATGGACCACCCTTGGCAGGGGCAGTGGAATGATACTGGTCCAGAGCTGACTCAACTTGGGGGCAGGAGTAACTCTGTTTCCTTATGGGCACAGGAATAAAAAGAACTAGAGGGGCTTCTAGACCAAATTAGCTTTTCTTCCTTCCCATCCAAGGCTGTCAAAGAAAAGAAAGGGAAGATCGAAGGATGGAGCCTTTGTGGATGGTGGTGGTGGAGTGGGGCGGAGGGGAGGGGTTCCCCTAGCAAGCTCCAGTTCTGACTGGAAGTGATAAACTCCTTCCTTTTCTCCACCCAGAACCATGGTTGAAGGTCAGATGACATTTTAGTGCCTTGTGTGAGCCATGGAACCAAACCTAGTAGCTTTTATAAAAATGAGGAGGCTGTGGACAGCCCTTTTCTGCCTAACTGGCACTCTTCCCGGCAGCTGCCAACATCCTGGGCCATCAAAATAAGGGCGTCTACGTGCTGATGAGTGGGCTGGACTTGGAGCGGCTGGTGCTGGCTGGTGGGCCCATCGGGTAAGTGTGAGACTCAGCAGGGAACTGGACTTTTGGCCTTCTTGGCCTGTGGTGCCACCACGGCCTTCCCTTTAGGGATTACCTGGAGCCACTTCCTGGCAGGTACACCCTCTCTCCTGGAGAGAAAATGAACCTCCTCCTCACACATGTAATTTCTTCACACTAAAGGGAAGTACCATTAGAAGACAGACAAAAGACCTGGGGAACCACACTGTTCAGTTACTCAAAATGGGAAACTTTGAGCACCCAAGCTCAAAGAACCACCTACACAGAAGTGACAAGAGTCCTCAAATTCCTTTTCTCCTGGCACTGCAGGTCCTCGTCTTGCTGAGCTGTCCCCATGCCTTTTCCTAACTGGCATTTTGCCCCCCTAACCGGCAGTAGGGGGACAGCGAGGTATCCCAGAGTCTCTCCTTTCTGGCAGGCTCATGCAGGCTGTCCTGGACCACACCATTCCCTACGTGCACACACGGGAAGCCTTTGGCCAAAAGATCGGCTACTTCCAGGTGAATGGAATGCTTGTGTAGAAATGTGCTCTCATTGGATTCTGATTTTTTTTAGCAAATAAGTAAGCAGAGCGTTTACTCTCCTTCACCAGCAAAATGAGTTTGACTGCTTCAATGTGGGCTATGTCAGCATGCTGCCTGGCTTTGGAGGTGTCAGAAAGTTCATCACACATTACCTCATTTCTTGCTTGAGATGAATGAACTAGGCATTGTAAGGTTGGAGGGTGAAGTGTGCAAGTTGAGGGACAGCATGGGAGAAAGGCAGCAGCATTTCTAGTCACACTTTCTGCAGGACATTAATGAAGGTCGTGGTAGGTGAAGGGCTGTTTCAAGGCGCAGTGTCCGCAGTGTAACAGTAAGTCTCTAGCCTTACCTCCAGACCCCCTACCATCTGTCATCCTAGGCAAGTACCATTTCCTCCCTGCCCCAGAGGCCCCATTTCCAGGCTGTCAGCTTCCTACAGTTGACCTGCTTTTGGAAAGTAGGGAGAGAGGAGCAGGGCTGCAGTGTACTGACTCACGCCCTTGCTCTGTGTCTAGCTGATGCAGGGGAAGATGGCTGACATGTACACCCGCCTCATGGCATGCCGGCAGTATGTCTACAATGTTGCCAGGGCCTGTGATGCAGGCCACGTCACCTCCAAGGTAAGGGCCAGGTCTGGAGGAAGGAGAGCTGGGGCAGCAGGCTGGCTGCTGGACTCACTGTCTGTGCAGCCCTGGCAGGGCCCTGCTGACCTGGAGCTTCCCCACAGGACTGTGCGGGTGTGGTTCTTTACTCAGCGGAGTGTGCCACAAAGGTAGCCCTGGATGGCATCCAGTGTTTCGGTGAGTGGCCCCCCACCTCCCACTCCCAGGGCTGTCTTGCTTCTGGAGCCTGTGGCTGCCTCCAAAAAGAGGTTTTCTCTTTACTCCTCACTCTGTGCTTCAGCCAGGTGCAGCTGAGCTGGCACCTTTAGGCCCCTTCTGCCCCAGTTACTAGGAGGATAGGGAAGAACAGATGAGAAAACTGCTAGATACTACCTTCAGCAATGCCACCTCCTCATTCTCCCCACCTGGCCCTGTGGACACTGGGTAATGGGGAGAGACAGATTTCTCGAAGGTGGCACAACATCGTTTCAATGCTGCACAGAGGTTAAGAACGTACACAAGCCAAATGGCCTGTTTGAGTCCTGGCTCTACCACTGATTGGCTTTGTGACTTGTGCAAATTGCTTAACCTCTCTAGGCCTGGCACCCAGCAAGTGCTATGCACTATCTTCTTGTCCCCCCTTCTCCATGTCTGCTGGTGGTTTGTCCCCGTTTGCTGGTATCCTCAGCGCTCCGGGTGGTCTTCCAGTCCCTAGTCCCACACCACCCCCAGCTAGGTATTCCCCACAGCCTCCCACTCACCAACCCTTGCTGTGTCTCTTTAAGCAGTCTCCTCTGGTCTGTTTCTATGTACTTGACCTCTTTGCTTTCCTCACTGCCCATCACTTTTCCTGTTGTCCTTTCTTCTCTGCCCAAACCCCTCTGCAGGTGGTAATGGCTACATCAATGACTTTCCCATGGGCCGCTTTCTTCGAGATGCCAAGCTCTATGAGATTGGGGGTGGGACCAGTGAGGTGAGGCGACTGGTCATCGGCAGAGCCTTCAATGCAAACTTCCACTAACCTTCACTCCCCTTCCCACCACCTGGAGGCCTTTCTTTGGAATGAGAGATGTGACAGCTCTTAACACCTGCCAGAGGCAGACCCTGCTGCCCAGCTGCCCTCTAGCCTCTGCATGAGGTTGAGTTTTCCACAGTGGCTGCCAAGCACTGTGGGCCTCAGAGCCAGCCAACCAGCCTGCCCAGATGATGCAGGCATGGGGGGAATACAGCGGCCATTGTGGTACCACGTTTGGGTCTGAACATGAAGCAAGATGCTACTGAGGGCTGTGGTTGGTGGAGGATCTACCTGAAAAGCCTTCAGAGGCTTAAAGTGGATTCAGCAGAAAATATGTTGGCTTTTCTGTGGCTCACTGGGAGGACTTTGTTCTGGGCCCTTCACCTCTCATTTCTGAGTCTGCTGTACCCACCTCCCAGGTAGGTACCTGGAGGCAGGGAGGCAGCCACTCCTTTTCCTTGGGTGAGCCTCTGGCAGGTAGGCCTCTGCTCAAGTACAGCAGAAGCATGGCCTCTCTCCATTTATTCAAACTTAAGAGCCTCTTTTCTTTCTCTTTGGGGAAAAAGACCCCCAAGAACCTAGTATTTTTTTCCTGTTGATTTCTAGAGGTATCAGTTCCAGCAGCAGCAGGCACCCAGTCTGCAGCTGCCCATCCATCCCTCCAAGGTTTTATTCTTTAGGGCTGAAATCCTACCATGTTGGGGTGGAGCTCTGGGAAGAGGCATCTCAGACCACCTGTGCCACCTGCTGAGTCTACAATGGGGCAGGTGGTCTACATGCTTGTGGAGGATTGGCTCCAATGTGGCCTCAAGGCAGCACTTCTGAGCCCTTTAGCATTACTCTGTCCCCACCACCGTCCAGTCTCCTGGCCACATGACAGTTCATAACTGACTGGGTGGGCCTGGGTTGGCTGGCTCAGCTCCAATCAGAGCTGACTGCGTATATTTCTCTCCACACCCTATGGCTAGTTTTGTTACAACTGCACAGCAGCTGCCATTTTATATTAAACTTATTAAGAAGCAAACCATCTGCTTTTAAACTGGTGTTTTGGGGGAGAAGCAATTGACTTGTCACTGTCTCCTGTCTGGCTCCAGCCCCATGTCCTGCTCCTGCCCTCCAGCCTGCTCACTGGTGAGAGGGGGGGCAAAGGGGTGGGATGAGCCCTTAGGATAGAGGAGGTTTCAACTTCTCTTTCCCAGATCTGCCAGTGATTATTTTAAAGGAAGAAGGAAGGCCAGAGTTTTAAGTCTTGGAGCTAGAAGGAAGCTCATTAATTTCTGGGAACCATTCTCATCTTTTAAAAGATCAGTATAATTTGATTTTCCCAAGGTCAGAACAGGAACTAGAATCCAGATCAGCAGAAATGGTAAAAATGCCAGCCTGGGCCAAGCCCCTGCACAGCCATCTGCCTGGTGCATGGTTAGAGTGGAACAGGTTTGGATTGTTACTACCATATGTAAATTCCCTAAAAAAACTAGTTTTCTTGGCTCTCAGCCCAGTAGTGCCTGTTCTGACTTTTGGTCTGGTCCCCAGCCAAGCACTGTTCCCAGCCTGATGGCCCGAGACAGGTGGTGTTACTTCCTTACCAACCCCAGCCCAGCTGCATCTTGAGGGGAAGACCGTCCCAGGGCTGTGTCACTGTCCATCTCCTCACCCTGCCCTCTGCTGCCTTACAGATGAATGTGGCTAAAATGGTGGTCTTGCTGGGTTCAAAGTATAGCTGGAACAACCAGCCTGGATGTGTTCAGAATGTGACAGAATGCAATGTTTTTGTCCATTCAGTGTGGGTAACAGAACCCTGCTACCAACTTGAGGAGAAGGTGATTGTTGTCCTGATGCAGTATGTAAAATACAAATGTTTAAAAATAAAGACCCCCCAAACGTAGTCTGAGTAGTGAATGAAGAGCAGGAGCATTTCCACTTTAGTTTTGGGGAGTCTGGTTGTTCCATGCACTTGCAACTCCTCCAGTACCAGCTGCCAGCACAGCTCCCTGCTGAGGCTGCCAGGTTCCACTCCAGTTCTACTCAGGTCACACTACAGCCCAGCTGCCTGTTGACTACCATCCCCACTGTTTTCCTACTGCTTGCCGTTGGGCTAGCAACAAAAGCTGGCGAAGGGAATGGTTCTCCAAATGTGGGCACATCCTTTATCAGAATTTAGCGACCTGTAAAAAAAATAAAATAAAATACTGATTCCTGGATGGGCCCACGACCTACCACATCTCCAGAGGTAATTTTGAGGCACAGGCACCCTTTCAGAAGGAGTGATATGGGGCCTAAAGAACTTTGCCAGAGGCCTGAGTTCTGCTTTAAACCTATATAATCTAGTAACGACAATCCCTTGCCAATGTAGCCCTCTCAAGTCTCATGACATTAACTCCTTGATCTTCGCGACAACCCGGCGTGGAGACAGGGTTGCGCAGAGTCCCCTTCCAGAAGACAGCTAAGGTGAGTTACCCAGGGGTCTGCGACCCAGCGGCTGGTGAGCCAGCCACGCCCAGACGCCGGGTGGGGCCAGAGCTGGTGTCCTACGCGGCGTGGGGACGGAGGACATCCTCTTGCTTTGAGGGCGGATGCCCAGCCCGCGCCTAGACTGACGGAGAGGGGACTGCGGACGCAGGTGGTCACGAACCCCAGCCTAGGGCAGGTGCAGGGTCCTTACTCTGGCCCCCTCCGTCGGGGTGCCTCTCTGCGCTGCTGCGGCTGGCGGGCTCGAGCTCGGGCGCGGCGCCGCGGCCCTGCGTGGAGTTCGCCTGGCCCCTGCCGGCCGCCCGCGGGGTCGCAGGCGCGCGGAATCCGCGGCTCTAAGGCTCCTGCCGCGTGCGCAGGACTGGCGTCTCCCAGTCTCAGATTTCAGGATGCAAAGGGCTCAACGACATTTTGTTTTGCCAAACTGAGAGCATTAGGGGGAAATGTAAAAGGCCGGCTGTCCTCTATCTTGTATCATTTCATACAAGAAAGGCTACTTTTAGCAATTAAAAAAAGTAGAATGGACAAACTCAGGACAAAGGCCATTGTTTTTTTTTTTGTTTGCTGTATGTTCATAGTTTTTAAAATATGACAGTTTAAAAGACCTATTAAAAAAGCAACTCCCCTGCCCTCCACTCTCTCATTCCCAGGCCAAAACCACTTTTGAATCTTTAAGATTTCTTTCAGTAATTCACTTCATGCCTGATAAGCTTACTTACTGATTTAGTTGTAAATCAGACGTCTAAGGATAGTTCTTTAAAGTGCACACATTTGATTTATAGGAAGTTCATTACATGCTCATATTTTCCTCACTTTCTCAGGCTAGTCCTGTCCAAAGGCCAGCATTGGGAGCCCTGGGGTCAGATGGTACAGTGTCCTACCCACATACCCACCTGTTCGCTGCCTCTGCCTACACTTAGTGCTCCTCAGTACCCAGATCCCAGAGCCAAACCAGATCCAGGTGGGAGCCCTCCTCTCCCTGTGTGCTCCACCCGGTCACTCCAGCAGAGTGCTGTTCGTGAAGCTGGCCTTTTCCTCCTACATCCACCACCCGTCCACACTCAGACAGAGCTAGCCTATCTAGATATTTCTTGGATCCTCAACAACCTGACAACTTGCCTACCTTCCTCCAATCCACGCCCCTCAACCCTTCCTCTATATGGAGCCAGAGTGCGCTATCAAACTCACCCTAAATCCTTCAGTGGCTCTCAGCACCTATAAAATCTAAGGTTTTGCAAGGCAAATATGACTCTAATCCTCTCAGCCTTCCCCTGCAGCTGCTCCTCTTCCAATCCCTGATGAGTATTTGTGTTCCAGTTGCAAATAGTCCTCAGGGTGTTGTTTCTTATCCCTGGCCTTTGCCTCAGAGGGTCCCTCTGAGGATGTCTTTCTAGCCCTTCATCTTGCCTTTGCTTCTTCATCCCTAAAGCCTCAGTTCAGGGGAGCCCTTCAGAAAGCCCTCCCTTCTCCAACCTGTTCCCACTCCTCATCCTAAATGGGGCCCCTTCCTACTTCTCCCTGGGCATATCTGTATCAGTGAGCTTGCTCCACTATTGTATTTATCTTGTATGTGTCTATTTCCCCGGCATCAGGCTAAGAATTGAAGGACCAGGATTATGATTTAACTGCCTTAATATGCCATCTAGCTCCAGCATAGTTCTGGCACATAACAGGTACTCAACAAATGTTTATTGAAAGAGTAGATGGGTAGTCTGAAATTTAGCTCGCATTTTGCTGGTACCATATTTGTATGTGTGATAGCCTGAATATACTGTAGGATCTTTGAGGTCAAAGGCCATTTCTCACTTATCTGAACCCTCCCAACAGCACCCAGTGCTCACAGTAAGTGCTTGGTGGCTGTGTTCATGTTGAATGAGTGAAACAACAGGTGGGCCAGAGCCCTGGCTTAATCCCCAGAGTTGGCAGAAACAGCAGAGCCAGCCGGCCCTGCCTGGCCATGCTTTCCCCAGGACTTCTCACCCTGGAGTAGCCAGGGCCCAGCTGCGGAAGGGAGGCCCTCACCCCCCATATTCCTCCAACCTACTCAGAAGCAGAAAGGAACTGCGAGAGGCCCTGGTCCCTCATATGCCAGCTGAGGACAAGAATGGGGATTGGATGGGGAAAGGGGCAGAGTCAGGGCCACACCACTCTGTTTTTCTTGCATAAAATGTATGGTATATAAAAAAGAGTAAGTTACATACATATATGCAGCATAGGGAGCAATAATAAAACAAACTTCTGTGTGCCTAGCATCCAAGTCAATGAAGAGAGCATTCTAGGTACCTTAGAAGTCCATGTGGCCCTCCCTGACCCATTCTTCCCAGAGGATCCACCATCCTGAATTTAGTGACAGTCTTTTCCTTACTTTTCTTTGTGGTTTCCTACCTCTGTGTGTATCCCTAAACAATATTGTTTAGATTGCCTATTTTTAAAACTTTCTACAATTGAATTCATACTACATATGTTCTTCCGTGTTTGGCCTCTTTGGCTTATCATTGTAGAGTTTTTAAAGAGTCATTCATATTAATGAATAGAGCTGTGACTTGGTCAATCTTTTTTTCTTTGTATAGTATTTCATTGTGCAAAAATACCACAATTTAATTATCCATTCTAGTTTTGAGGGACATTGAGGTTGTTTCCAGTTTGGGGCAACTCTAAAACATTCTGTATGTGTCTTCAGGTTTCTGAGTGCCAGAGTTTCTCTAGGTACATTCCTAGGAATAGAATTTCTGTGCTATTGAGTATACACATGATCAACTCCACCAGTAATTCCAAACTGTTTTCCAAAGTAGTTGTGTGTCTGTATTTTTTAGAATGATGCTACCAGAGGTGACCTGGGGCAGAGGTGGCATGCAGCCCCAGAGCTAATTCCATGAGCTTGTTTTCAGCAAGGTGCAGAAGTCAAATGACAAAAGAGTGCATCACCACTTCCCTGCCCAGGCCCATCAACCACACAGTCAACAAACCTTTATAGACAAGCTGAGAGCAACGCACTTTACCAGAGGCTGTGAGATAGCACTGAGTTCACACAGACCAGTTTCAGAGAAGGGGAGTTATGTCTCCACTTAATCAGCTAAGCAGTGCAACACAGCTTGCCCTGGAAGACAGGGGAGAAGAAGGGCTAGATGGGTCAGTGGGAGTTTTTTGAAGACAGGAACGGTAATCTGAGTCCATGGATATCAGCACAGGCAGTATCACTCCTCAAAGAAGAATGGCGGATCAGTGGAGTAAGTACAGAGGGTTGCCATTGCCACCAGTAGAGGAAGGGAGGAAGAGAAGACCAGGGCTATGCCCCAAACCACAGAAACAGACACGTCTCTGTCCAAACACACCTGTGCCCTCGTGCCCATCCAGGGTACACACACAAAGACACACAGCTGCATACACCAAGCGACAGGCTGGTAGACATGGTGCAGGAGCCAGGAGTGGGAGTTTGCAGCTGCCTGGGGGAGATAAGCCAGCCTTGAGAGACGCCCTCCTGGTGTCTCCCCCTCCACCCCACCTGCAGCATTTGCCTGGGCTTCCAAGAGACAGCTTCTGCAAAGCTGTGTGTTTTCAGAACAACCTGGGGACCCCACCCCAAATTCTTTTTCTATTTATGAGAACAGGGGAGCAAAGTCTGTTAGTCCACACTGGAGCCCTGTCTGATGCTGCCAGGCTGGGCAGGGTTGGGTGTACAGTAATTTTTTTATTTGTTGGAGTAAAAAACTTTAATTAAATTTATTGTAAGATGATTTAAGATTTCAGATAGGCGGAAAAGGAATCTGAAATGAGAAGAGGCTAAGGAGGTGAGTCTTGATGTCCATGATTGGCCTGCAGCCTGCCCAGTCCGTCCTTGCTTTCCAGACTCCCCACTGTTGGCCAAGAGAGGAAGGGTGGGGTTAGGGCCATTGTGAGGTTGCTAATTAAGGCTGGAGGTTTGTAAATTTTATATGACTGCAGTTGCCTGGGAAAGGGGGATCTCCCCAGTACTGACACTGCTTCCACTGCCCACAACTGGCAACAGTTCAGGCTAAAGAATCACCACCCAGATATTCAGACCCAGCAAGTGCCAGCCCGTCTCCCTACCTCTCCCCTAGTCCTGACCTCCCAGGTGCCCCTAGTCAGAGTACACCCTTTGGTCCTGCAAGGCTGAGAAGTGGAGATAGGAAGCAGTTTGGCCTGTGGGATCTCCATTCCCCCTACACACACCTTCCCCACCCTGGGAAGCTGCCCGGAAGGTGGAGTCTCACTGGGAAGCAAGTAGAGCCCTCCTGGTTGTCTGCGTGGGATATCCAGGTGCTTAGAATGCTGCCACACACACCTCTGTTCCCCATTCACTGGCCCCTAGGGGCCCATCCAGGAGCGTTATATGCTGCAGTTTTTTGGCTCTCCCTACCTGACCACCTATACTCCCAAGGGGGCTGGAGCCTAATG